CATTCCTGATGCTCTCGCACATAAAGGGCAACTACATCTCACCTTCCCAGCCTGTCTTTTCTGATTTATCACAGTATTGTTGGGATCAAGAGCTCATCCTCTGATTTCAAATATTTCCTTCAAGCACCAGAACAAGAGAGAAAATTACTACCTAATCCAAGACAAAGACATTTTTAAGAGACGCAAACCTTATAAAACAATTAGTAAACTTAATACATACAATGCAAGCAACTGACTATCCATGAAAATAGCCCACAATCATTACAGGTTAATCAGTTGTACTTACGTTGTGAATGCTTCATTTTGTTTTGCCCCCAGATAGTAGGAATAGAGGTTAAACATCCCTATCATGAAAGCCACAAACACCATGATAAATATCACCATGAACTTGAAGATGTCTTTCACAGTTCTGCCAAGTGATATCTGCAGTGGTCCAAAGCTTTCATTTGCTGGTAGGATGTAGGCTATTCTGGAGAAACTTAATACTACTGCAATTGCATACAGGCCTTCAGATATGATCTGAGGATCGGACGGATCCCAGTTTATTCTGGCTAGAAACAAAAGATGAGAATTTCTGTCAGTATTTCAATATATCTCTACAGATCTATGGGAGATCTTTTTGCAACAGCAGCTGGAGGTGAGGTAAGAAACCAGGTAGCGCTAAAAACATCTCACAGCTCCACTGACTGTACTTATAAAATCTCCATTGATTATAAAGGTGGGCTGTAAGATCACTGAGGTAACCTTTTGGGAGCTGAATCCCAACCTATTAGAGAATTTAAGTAAAATTCAGTTTACAGGGTTAGGTGATGAAAACTGAATAAATTAAATCAGAAATGTGATTTTTTGAGCTATCCAAAATTAAGTGTTTTGATGTAGGGATCTGGAATCATTAAAAGATATCCAAAACTCTAAAAATGTGCGAACAATAACGTTTCTGTACTTTTTCCATTTACTCCACCTTTTTACTCATACAGAAATGGTAATGGCCCTTTCCTGGCATACACCAAACACCCATTTCCATCACCTTTTCTATCATCATTTCTATCAGTCTCTTCTGCTCTGAAGCTAACGCACTGGTGTGAATTACTTGAGCATTCCTTGGATCATGAGTGAATGTGATACTGCTGTTTGATAGGGAACATATTCAACTGAAGAGGGGAATGTTCAGGTTCAAATCTGTACTTTTTAGAAAAGTGTCAGAGGGAGCAATTCAAAGCAATACCATCCAGGTTACATCCTAGCTGGACATTAAGGCATTCTCCCATGAGGTGGGAGGCTTAAGTTCAATTCACTACTGTACTTCAGGCAGAGAAGACATTAACCCAGGATCGGTTTCCTACATTCCAGAAGACGGTTGTCATCTGTGTTTATTCTACTGTAAATGCCAACAAATAATTTATACTGCAATGAAGGCAATCACTGGCTTTTGGAAAAATACTAATTTGAGATGTTAACTAACAAATAACCATTTAATAAAATATCAGAAAATTATATTCTTCAAGGAACTTACTGCCATGCCAGTATTCATGTATCATGACAAAGTAATGAATTACTCTGGTTTCAGGCATAACAAGGCTCAGTTATCTCATAATAATTTCCTTGTTAGCTGCTGTGGATTTCTTGTAGGTACGTGCATATTCTTTTGTTTATTGAGCTCCTTGCTGTAAGCATACTACACACTATACTCAAATGAGAAAATGTCTATATGGCAAAAGACTGCACATTTTTACATAAGCTGACATTTCAGATTTCATGGATAACTAAAATCAAAGATGGCAGATATTTCAGTATGGGCTAGTAGCCAGACATCTTTTAGGTTGCCAGATGAGCGGTATTGTCACAGAGATTGAGGTGGGAAGGGACCTCTGGAAATCATCTGGTCCAACACTCCTGCTCAAGCAGGTCCACCTAGAGCCAGTTGCCCAGGATCATGTCCAGGTGACATCTGAATATCTCCAAGCATGGAGACTCCACATCCTCCCTCAGCAACCTGTCCCAGTGCTTGGTCACCCTCACAGTAGAAAAGTGTTTCCTGATGTTCAGAGGGAACCTCCTGTGTTTCAGTTTGTGTCCATTGCCTCTGGTCCTGGGGTACCAATGACAAGAGCCTGTCTCTGTTCGCTTTGCACCCTCTCTTCAGGTATTTATACACATTGATGTGATCACTCCTGAGCCTTCTCTTCTCCAGGCTGAACAGTCCCAGCTCTCTTAGCCTTTGCTTATAGAAGAGATGCTCCAGTCTTGTCATCATCTTTGTGGCCCTTCATAGGCCCTTCTCTCCAATATGTCATATCTCTCTTCTACTGGGGAGCCCAGAACTGGACACAGCACTCCAGCTGTGGCCTCATCAGTGCTGACTAGAAGGCAGGGATCACCTCCCTTCACCTGTTGGCAATACTTTGACTAATGCAGCCCAAGATACCATTATCCTTCTTTGTCGCATGGGCCCATTGCAGGCTCTTGTTCAATCTGGTGTCCACCCAGTTATGTTTGCTAGCCTATGATAAAACCTGTGTCACTAAATATTCACTATTAATATTACCCATGTTAGCACAACCATACATAGATGGTCTCCAAGCAGACTCCAGTGTATGTGCATGCATGAAAAAATGGCTCAACTCTGCTTAAGTGCATAACAAAGTCACCACTCATGACTGATGTCAACGGAAGCTGCCTTTCTAGATGACACAGTATTATACAGCATAAATGAGTTACAAGACTTGTGCTTGTCATACCCAGAAACTGTGAACATAAACAACAGTCCCTGTTTGCAAATTCTTCATGAGTGCTACTGAAAACTGAATTAATATTTAACTGACTGCTTTTATAACTTATGTGAAATTTGTAACTTTCCAGTAAAATTTGTAAGACTACAGTTTAATGGGTTTCAGAATATATATATTAATCATCCTGCTTTTTCTACAGCCTTCATTATCCAAGGAAGAAATGCAAACTTATCAGAAATCGTATTTGAGGCATAGAATAGAGATAGAAACTGATGTAATTCAGTATCTAGAGAAAAATATCTAATAAAAGGAAGAGAGATGTGGTGGTGTTGAGAGTGAACACAAGTAAACAGAGCTTCTTTTTTTTCCATTTGGGCAAAATAGCTTCTAGTCACTTCTCATATATGCCAAGCCAGATTATTAACATTTTTATCTGTTACTGGTAAAGAGAATAGATTGAGAAATATTAAAATGATATAACAGAGTCTCTGAGTGAAGAATTAGATTGTATCAAAATACATATCGGTTACGTTGGCAAAACAGGTTTAAGAAGTTCTTGCATCTCATTGCTGAGTTCTGCCCCTGCATTGCAGTACATCCCATTTGCGGTTGTGCCAACACAAGTGTTTGCAGGGTATCACTGTGTAACTGAACAGACGAAATTACCTGGACTAAAATAATCTTGAAAAGGGGTGGGGTCACGTGGGGTTATTTTGATCTTAGATCATTTCAGTGCCTGATATCTAGAACAGACTGACCCTGAAGAGATGTATGAGCATAGCCAAGGGAACTGTGATCATGTAGTAGGGACGAGAAAGAGAAGAAGTAGTAGGAATTTCTTAAGAAATACATTGTGGAACTAAAGTGTTGGAGACTTATTAACAGAAGATCAATTAATCTTAGCCCAAGAAGTAAATCTCAATCATATGCAGTCAACTCACCCAAGGTGTAGTATTTTATGTTGGGCTCCAATGTTGGACTTGTCAGATCTTTCATATTTGCATCAACGAAGCTCTGGGCTCTGGATGCATGCCAAAATGCCATAAACCTTGCTATGAACGATGCAGCAAAAATTGCTAACATACCAAAATCAAGCATATTCCATAACTCAAAAAGGTATTCCTTTGGACCTTGAGACCAAATTTCTTTACATTCAGACCATATCATGCCTGTGTAAGACAGAACAGAGAAAACAGTGTGTTCTTTTATCTTCACATTTGTTTTATTTGATATTTCATTATTTGTAGGATATGCTCTTGGTTGCAGTCAAACTCAGAAGCATTTTGGTCACTGGCAGTTTAAACACAAACTAAAATCCTTGAACCTGCCAATTCATATACATTCCAGTACTTCTTTCTCATGGGAGTAATACTAACAAACTTTCGTATTGCTTTTTCCTGTACAACTGCAAAAGCTTTCAAAGAGAAGAATGGGAGGTGAGTATTCCCATCTGTCATAGACACAGAAAGAGACTGAAAGAGCAGAAATGCTCTGGCATGATCAAATAGCCGTGGTAGTACTAATAGCAGAACTCACATTTTCTTATTTGCAGGGTTCCCTGGGTACAGTCTATTTTACGGATATTGCAAATATATGTGACAAATGAGCATGAAAGTAAGAATCAGACCTAATCCTTCTTCAACAGGGCAAAGGTATCTGTTTGATTCCTAATTATTGTCCCTTAATAATAAAATATAGGACTACCGCATTAGTTTATGGCATCCGTTTTATTGAGCAAATCCTTTTCCTTTTCAAGATAAAATTTATTTAATCATTAACTATATTTCTAGGATTTTTAAGAGAGTTAATAAAAACTGAATTGGAATAATGTCACTATTTTTTGCACTTATCGAATTGTGGGAAGTAACTTTTCATCATTTTCAGATAAGGATGATTATAATGTTAATTACAGTAATTAAATCAGTGCTACATCTGTATGCACTGAATCAATTTTTCATAAACTGCCTTATGCATGACAGTGAAATAAATAAAAATAGATTCAATTATCAAACTAGAACTTCAAATTCTATTTACTCCTGTATTATCAGATGAAAATATTGATATTTATAGGATATTTGGAAATGTAAGTGCCATATTATCCCTATAATACAAATTATATTAAGTTATAAACAGCTTTATGATGAAATAAATATTGTCAATGTCTTTTAAAGCTATAAGAATCAGCTGGTGTACAAATGGCTCCAATTTCAAACACAGAGAGCTCATAAAAGCAAAATATTTTAAATGTATAAATTCCTGAATGGAAACAGATTTTACTTAGCTTAAATTTAACTCTCCCATATTACTGATTTAACAACCAGAACATAGATGCTTAAAATATTTGGGCATCTAACTGTCATTGCAATAAACGGAACTAGACTTGAGAATAAAAATCAGACAGCTGAACTATGTTTAAGGGTCTGTTCAAGTGCTTATGCTGAATAGTACTGCATCACCAAATTGAATGGGTCAGGTCAGAGTACTGTTCATAGTATTCATTTCATCACTATTTCAGGATGGAAAAATCTACCGATTAATGTTCAGAGGTCTATATTCTGCTTCTCTTTTGTCAAACAATAATATATTCAGCTATATACTATTAATTCTGCAGGCATATTTGCAAAGTAAGAGAATCTCAGCAGAAAGAGACCATTGGACACAAAAAGAAACTTGGCCCAGGATGTGGAAATCTTTCCCTTTGGGAGTTGACACAGTCTGACTTTAAAAAAAAAAAAAAAACAAAAAAAAACCCAGAAAATGGGTAGACACTTTCCTTTGATATTCATAAAACTGAATTCATTGATATTAATATGATGTAGATTTCACCTAAGTCCTTAACCTGAATGTTTGTGATTAACTAGGGACATGTGAATCGTGCTGACATCCAACAAGAAACATGAGGCCAATGTGGGAATGCAGCCAGTTGCATAAACTATTGCTGTTTCTACACACAACATTAATAGTAAAGGATTAACTTGAGTCCAGTTTCACTGAAATCACAGCAAGACAAATTTAAGCAAAATTAATCTTTACCTATTACCCAAGAAATAATGAGCATCTCCATCCATGAGAAACAGGATGTTTTCATCCTAAATAGCTGTTTTACATTGCCTGTTGTTTCATTGGGTCGGAGTTTGGTGCCATCAAATCTGTCAGCTGCATTCATGACAAGCAGACCAAGAAAAATGGTGAAAGAGGCTGCATGGGCTACAAACTTCATAAATGGTCCACGCATTATCCTCCCCAGCTGCAACACAGGTTATAAAACACAAGGATATTGCATTGCCTTCTTACAAAATAAATATGTACAAAAAGAACTGTAACACAGAGAAATATGTATTTCAATAACACAGAGGAACAAATATTTGGAAGAAGTTTCTATATTATGATGCCATGCTGACAGTCACCTTAAAAAGTTTCTACTTATTTTCTGTTTTCAGAGGGATACTATATCAGTTTCGCCATATGTATTTTTAATTCGGTGTTTTGAAACAATTCTGTAATTCTTTTGGGACATCTATGTATACTATAGGTACTCAAGAGAAAAATGTAGTTCTTGAATTTCTTTTCAATTTACATGCTAGTCATCTTTATGAGGCAACAAAGAAAATGTGGTTTTGACACCTACTAAAAGCATTAAACTATCACCAGGAGTGAATTATGACTAAAGAATTCAGTTTCCTGACTGACATGACACTCAGTTTAGCACAGTTATTGTGCAGTTTTGCCAACTTTCTTTTTAAAAACAAGTCATGGGGCCTCAAAAGGTTATGTTTAAAGTTCTGTAGTGTCTTCATTTCCTTCCGGAGTCCTTTAACGGAAATGTCCTCAACCTTGCAATGGCTAAGCACAACTTCAAAATGGTTTAGTGCAACACTTAAAAAACCTAAAGTTTCCGTACAGACTCACACAAGGCTGAACTTTTAGCAATTATTTATTTTTGGGGGTGCCTGTATTAATAGTAAAACTCTTAGCTTGTTCACTTAGTTGGCAGCTGCAGAAAAATACTCTTTTATTTTAGATGAAGACAGTATCTGTATGTGACAAAAATTTCTTGGAAAGAACTGGAAACAAGGGTCACAGATTTCTGCTGAAACATGTAACAATCTGTGGTCTGGAAAAGGGAGAGGAAAGTAGAAAGACAAAGATTTGGCATAGGTATTTTTGCTACACTTGTTTCAATATCAAAGCCAGAATTTTGCTGATGCTACAGTCAGCTTTTACAGAAACAAAGAATAAGAGGATTCAGCAGAGGATGCAATAGTAAGATCTCAAACACATTGACAAAACTAGACAGATGTAAAAAAGAAGATATTGATAAAGGAACTCTGTCAAGGTCAGCAGGCACAAAATTTGATCTTCTTTCTCCTTTACATTATTTTGCCACCCCATACCATTCATTATGTTTCCCACTCAATAAAATAATCTTTTTTTAAAAAATAAAATGTTCCCTCAGGCTCATGAGATGATCTTCAACAACCAATTATTTTGCATGAACTATAAAGAAAACAGGTATTTGTCAAGGGGAAAGATTTTATTTCAAGCTAGGAAGGACCAGTTGTAAACAACACAGAATAAAGCAGAGTTGGAAAATTATAAAGTACCTTGACAGTGTCCTTTTAAATGTATTATGCTTGTGTTCACAAATGAAGATGGATTAGGAGACAGACGCCAGAAAGAGACAAAGCCAGAAAAGAAGAAATATTGAAGGAAGTAATGTTAATATACCCCTTGATCAAAAAGAAATAAAATTTAACAGAATGAACTCCTACCACCCACCCTATCCTGACCCGCCCCCCCCCCCCCCCCCCCACCAAAAAATCCCCGAAAAAAAAAAAAAAAAAAAAAAGAGAGACAGAAAAGTATTCTTTACATACATACAGTAAAATGTCAATGTCCCCAGAAGCAGGACTAACTATGGTTGAACCAATTACACAAATGCTGGAAGTTATTGTGCCATTGCCATATCAAAACAATTCAATAAGGTCAATAGGTCAGAAAATATGAATCAGGAAAAGAGCGAGCAAAATGTAAAGACAAGGCATAATCTTGCAAGATGCTGAGACTTTTGCATAAGCCAGAGCCCCTTCTTAATACACTTCCAATGTGCATTTTGACATAACAAATGCCCTCCCATTGCACAGACCAAGGACATGATCTTCTAAATGTTCTGGATCTCTTTCTGTAATTTAAGTGGGTTTGCTTTGGGATTTTGTTTTGGTTTCTTTGGTTTGGGATTTCTTTTTTATTTTTGTTTTCTGATCCTGTGTGCTAATGGTCTTAGGTTCAACATAGCGTTTTGGAGAGTGTTTCACAGGTTGGTTTGGGTTAGAACAAGATATAGAACAGTTATACTGTGGAACCTTCAACGTATATTTGCCTGTATATAGGGCCACCTGAAATTACTGGGGACTGGAGTCAGTGATTCACATTATTCTCCCCTTGGGACTCTTCAGAAACAATCGCTATTGTAACTTCATGGAGTATGGCATTGACAAAGAAATTATAAAATAGGCTTCCAGGTAGCACATCAATCACAAAGGAAAAAAGGCATGATAACAAAAAAAGAGATAACATACATACTTTTTTAGGGAGAATAATTTCCCAGCTCCTCATATCCTGGACCTAATGTTCAATTTCTTTTCCTCTACCACAGTGCAAAAGAGGAATGTGTATAACCTTCAGAACATGCTTCTAGAAAGCACGTAGGGACTTACCAAGTTAGTTCTTTAGAAATGCCAATTCCAGGTGTCTGGGAACAGCAAAAGAAGACTCAATTTCAAATTCAGATATCTCATCTTGGCCAGGGGCTGACTGATTACTCATGGATTCACAAAGCTAAAAATCTAAATTCTATTATTAATTAGACCTGAATGGCACAGACATTAGAGATTCTTGAAGATAACTGAAAATAGTTTTTACTCTTTTAAAATGTCATGTAATAAAATGGTATTCTAGAAGCTCTGGGTTAATTATGTCAGAAGTTACATTGAATGACCAATGAGAAATGCAGAACAAACAGTTCACAAAACTATGAAGTGCCTCCATGTGGAGGGAAATGAGAGACAATCTTAGTTCCTTTCGGGATCTGACACTAGTGAACTCCTGCCACACCAACAGGACTTTGTCCATGTATTCTATGAAATTTCTTCCAGATCTGAAACTCTCAATTCAGTATCCATGGTCAAAGCTCAACTGCTTCCTAATGCGGAAACCGGTCAGCCATACAGGTAACTAACTGAGATGTTGCAAATGCCATAAAGACATTTTTGCCTTTCTCAAAGACATGGTGTGGGAATACAAAGAAATGTGTCAGAATAACTCCACTGCAAGCTGTTACTTTCAGTACCAATACTGTGAGTATTTTCTCTTTCTACTGTTACTGTGCCCTATAGTGCCAAATCTAGAAAAAGAATGAGTACTTTATCTCAGTAGGAGAAGAGATTTATAAAATTCCATCAATTCATACACAGAATGAACTGTTAATACAGATCATGTTCTGTATTGGAGCCATCCTATCCTGAAATTAAACAGTGACTTTTTGTCTTCACAAAACAAAAGAATCAAATTTTGAAGCACGAGATAAGAAATGGCAACTGGTGAAAAACATGGATTAGACTTTACATCTGCAGAATATAATGAAACAAAAAGCATTCAACGTATAAATCAGATGACGAGATGATTAAACAGCAACAGAGGAAATGAAACTTTAAAGGAAGTTGTCCTTTGAACCTTTGACTTTAAAAAGCTACTTTGAAATAGCTTTTGCAGAATGTACCATGGTTCAAAATTACTTTAAGATCCAATAAATCATTGAAAAAGGAAAATGACAAATACACAAGTCACTGCTATAGTTGAAAACAAATTACTGAAGTATGTTGAATCTCCAGGCATGTTTTAAGACAAAAGTACTCATAAAAATCTTAGTCACTATACAGAAAAGTGAAAAAGATATAACTGATTTTTATTGTCCAGACTGAGAGAAATGAAAAATATGGCAAAACAAAAAAGGGTCACCTTTCTCCTCTCAGAGAACAATAAAAAAAAAACAAACCACAAAGACCTCAGTCCTCTCTTTCAACTTTCCTCTTCCCCTGGAATCATTGTATGTGCACAGGATTTGACCTGCTAAAATCATGGATGTTATACTGTAACCTGTTGAATAACCCTTATAGGATCCCACTTGTTCCCTCTAACATACTCTCAAGGAAAATTCTCCATCAGTGTCCATTGAAAACCAGTAGCTACCAACTAAAACAAGGATTCAACACAAAGTTCAGAGAGGCCAGAGCTTGTAACCCAAGTCCAGTGAAAAGGCTTTCCATGGTATACATTATCCAAAAGAGATTCCATGGCAGCACCCAAACAGTGCACTATAAATGGATGCAGGGGAGGCTGCGTGGCTGCTTTAAAAACCTCACAAAATATGATGAGTATTAGCACTGTCTTGACAAGCCAACACAGTTCACTTTGACTTCTAGAAAACTGATGACGATTTTTTTAATTATTGGCATTCACGTTTCAGCAACTTTTATCTATTAATCACCAAAAATAAAATTCCCTTTGAAGTGACTGGAATCTACCCACAGCTTGAACTTAGTCTAGCTCTGAATCAATGGGAAATGAGGATCCTCTGCATCTGCCTAACTAAGGCAACAACTCAATACAGAATAGTCTGATTCGTTGTTTCTAAACTACAATTTCTACAAGGCAACTCTTGCTCAACCATTATAATTTAATTTGCTGTACATGGCAATTAACACAATACAATTACCTGTCTTAATTCCAATTGTCAGAACCTGTGATCCTGCAGCCATTCCATTCTAACTCAGCTTTAAAATAACACTTTTCTGAGGTATTATTCAAGCATGTCAGTAATTGATACTCACGCTTCATCTTTGCCAGACAGGAATCTGCATGCAGATGATACAGGAGTTAATAAAAGGCCTTTACAAGATTTCACAGACTGACCTTACTGCAAGGAGCAATCCAGTAAGCCATTGAAAGGAACGGCAGTCCTACCGCAACAGCAAGGACAACCAGAAACTTCACTGCCATGGTCTGCTGCCGTAAACCTGACAAATTCTCATACCAGATTGAAAGAAGTTGCTGCTGGCAGTTTGGATGTGCGACAAACTGTAACAAAGAACAGGAGCACAACAAAAGAATATTGCTATCAGAGTATCTTTTACTAAAATAACAGCTATATGAAGTGCATTAAGAATGTGGGAACAGCAACAACTCAGCTTATATTAAAAGGAGCATTAACGATAGTATCAGAAAAAGTTTTTTGACGAGCATAATCTTCCAGCATGCAGGCACATTGTTATCAGCAACAGCAGATCCTTTAATTTAAAAACTGTGTTCCATTACAAAATATTAATTTCCATTTAAGGTAATTAAACAAAACTTGATCTGGGCAAACTCCATTTCTTTCTGACATTTATAATTTTCATGTTACTACCTCAGAAATTCCAACACTTTCTTTCTGTTCTGTAAAGGCTACTATATAGTCTTTAGTTATGAAAGAATATGCCGTATTTTCACAGGCTAATGTGGAAAATACCATTTTTTTCAGCTGGCATAAGAAAACAGCTGTCACTTTTGCAGGAAATCACATAAGAACTATTCATAAGTTGGTTCTGGAATCTTTTGGACTAACTGCAAAACTGAGAGGTTCGGCCTATAGCTCTCTTTTCTGGCAAAAGCTCTGGAGAGTATAAGAAGCATCTTACAAAGGCAGACATTAATAAAAAGTGGACCATAAATTTTTAAGTCTAAACCTGGAAATACAATTAAAATTTAAGTGAATCCAGTATTTTTTTCCTAGAATAGTTCTCTATATTTAAAGGATAACTGGCTGAAGGTGCAAGAAATGTCTTTATTCAGGCAAGATAAAGTGTTGAAAGTTCACATTCAAGGAAGGATTAAGACTCAGATACTATGAAGGACAAGGTTGATGTGATATCCTCCCTTCAAAAGTTGTTTCAGCTCTCTTTAGGGACCACAGCTTGCCAAGTGTTTTGCAGGTTTGTGTTCATATGCTTGTAAGTGCTCTTCAGTCAAAATGATTTTCTTCTTTTCTTACCTTCACGAATACACAAATACTCTTCGTATATAATTGTTTAAGGTTCACCCCAGAAAAATGAACTCAATTTTTGTAAAAAAATCTGCAACTCTTCTCTGATAAATTAGATCTGTATATTCAGTCCATACTGGATTTTTAAGACTCCACATTCTCTTTCCTTTTTTTTTTTTTTTTTTTTGGTTAAAGTAAGATATTTTTTATTTTTACATTGTTGATCTGATCCATTTCATTCTGTAGGAAAAGTTTTATCAAACACGTTGCTTCTCTGTCAGGAGATAGCTCTACTTTAGGGTAACCTGCTTGCAAAGTGTGTCCCTGAGCTGTATCCTCTTGATACAAACTTCATCACACAAATCGTTTCTCCCTGGTTCACAAACATATCACCTAGAACTTTACAACCTCTATTATTCAAGTTTTCTGGGTAATTCAAGGGTCTTGGTGCAGCTTCTAACTCAGCCGGTTCCACTGAGTACTTTTGATATGGAGACCAGAGTATTAAATGGACAGTAGAAATGGGAGTAAGCCAAAAAAGGGACAATATCTCCTGTGTTCAACACTGTCTGCAGTCCACTGTTCTTCAGAAGTGGGATCAGCAGTACTGTTACTCCTAGATTGTGTCTCTGATCATCTATATAGGCAAATATATGTTTCAGTAGGACACTCAGTTTCACTGAGTTTTCTCATCTTTCAGTAAGACACAGCAGCTTGACAAAACTGTGTATCAACATTTGTTATCATGCAGTACACGTTTTTTATTAAATCTGATACTTTTCCAGGCTGCAGAAGTAGTGCAAATTTTTTACATCTTTTTTAAAAAACAGATTAAAACTAAAAACAATTAAATATCTACAAATTTTGCATACACATTTTTTAGAGCCATTTGCTCTCATACTCACTATGACCAGTATCCACTCTGAATATCTGCTTCTTGTTTATATTGCAAGCTATCTGGGGCAAGGATTCTTTTGTTTGTAAAATACTCTGTGCAGAAGGGCCCAAATGTTCATTTAAGTGTCAGAGGCTACCAAAACATAAACATTTAATAACAGCACAATTTAATATCACTATCATGACATGTCTGTTTGATCAACATAATTGCTTACTTTTTTAACTTCATACTTAATGGCAAGTTTTAAGCGGCTAAGGCTGGGGCGGCCACGTTCTCCGTTATTATGGCTCATCTCTACGTCACCATTCAAAATAGCTTCCACTTCTTCTGTATTTCTGCACAAATCAAGGAGTCCAACTACAAAATCCTTGCATTGCATAGACAATTTCTTGTAATCATTCTAGAAAAGAAAAGAGGAAAGAAGATAACTTGCTGTTTAGACCTAACACGAGAGGAATAGTTCTACATCCCAGATACACATCTGTGGGCATCAATGGTTTGTCTGCATATTGTTACATTTCTTTGTGATAGATTGACAGCACTTTGTTATCAAGCATCTCCTTCCCCTGAATGTTCAAAGAGTAGGATTTGTTTCATCTTGGTTACCTTAGACATACATATCATCAATTTTTACACCTGAGTTACTTCTCTAGACTTGCTTTAGAGACAATTGAAAGTAAAAAAAACACTTTCAGAAATATTGTATGACATATTTTAATGACTATTTCAAGTTGAGATGAATAGCACAGGGGAAATATTCTGTTTACTGCCTGTAACAGAAGTCTAGATAAGTAGATGTAGAAAGCTACACTGTAGAGATCTCAGTTGGACAAGATGAGTATCCTACAGAGAACACATCTAAACAACTTCCCAACCTTCTTGAGAATTACACAAATATATTGAATTTTCTTAGGCCTTGAGTAATTCCTGTAAATCTTATCTTTTGAATTTTCCAACATCTCTTTTAGCTTTCAAACACAATATTTGATTGCTGTTTTCCAGCAACACTCTCAGCAGTGCTACAGATAGCGTCGTGATACCACGTCCCTAACGTCAACTCAACGCTCTCTAGCTCAAATATCTCAGGACAGACTTTGCCGCGTGAGCCAAAATGTTGCTCTACAACTGCAGGTTCAGTTGCTTATTGCTTTAACTATCAAACATTCTTCTCAGTCATTTGTTTTCCAAAATGCATAAGTCAAAACAGAAAAAGATATTTTGATCATTGCAATCTACAGCTCATTAACCACTCCTCACTTGCAGCTGTGCTTGAGTCATAAAAGATTAATAAAGTTAGACTGATAGCTACAGCTCATTAACCACTCCTCACTTGCATCTGTGCGTGAGTCATCAAAGATTAATAAAGTTAGACTGATAAGGAGCTAGATGGATATAGATATAGATGTATATCTAAAGCTAAAAAATGTGTACAGATATATTGCCCCTGGTCTAGATCTCATAAGAGATTTACTCATACATGTGTGTCATGCTTTAACCCCAGCTGGCAATCGGCACCATACAGCTGCTTGCTCACTCCCCACAGTAGGATCAAGGAGAGAATCAGAAGGGTGAAAGTGAGAAAACTCGTGAGTTGAGATAAAGACAGTTTAATAGGTAAAGAAAAAGCTGTGTTCACAAGCAAAGCAAAACAAGGAATTCATTCACTACTTCCCATCAGCAGGCAGGTGTTCAGCCACCTCCAGAAGATCAGGGCTCCATCACGTATAATGGTTACTTCGGAAGACAAACACCATCACTCTAAACATCTCCCCTTCCTTTTTCTTCCCCCAGCTTTATATGCTGAACAGGATGTCGTATGGTACAGAACATCCCTTTGGTCAGCTGAGGTCAGCTGTCCCAACTGTGTCCCCTCTGAACTCCCTGTGCACCCCCAGCCTACCCGCTGGTGGGGTGGTGTGAGAAGCAGAAGAGCCCTTGACTCTGTGTAAGCACTGCTCAGCAGTGACTAAAATATCCCTGTGTTATTCACACTGTTTCCAGCACAAATCCAAAGCATAGCCCCATACCAGCTACTATGAAGAAAATATCCCAGCCAAAACAAGTACGTGTCAACAACTTCTGATATTTTTGTGATCTCTGCTAATTTTAATGCCTTAAAAAGATGCAATTACTGTAGAATTTTTCCCACAAAAAAAGAATTAAAAAAATCCAACCACCCCACACCATACAGGACTGCTCATGTAGTCTCTATTTCATGTTCAGAGTAACTTTCTATGAATACTTTCATTACAGTGACACATTTTCCCCTCTTCTGGTCCATTCTTTATAGCACTCCCTTATCTCCCACTATTAGTCTCTGTTTAGTCCCTTCTTTTTAATTACTTCTGTTATACTAACTGCCGTCTAATGCACACCCCGGAAAAGTAACCATTATTTTGAGTATACAGAACACCCTAATTTATTTGCCAAGGGTGTACTTCATGTATGTTTGTGCTTTATTACCCACAACACCACAATACCACTTTATCACTTGGATATATTAAAGGACTGCATCCAAGTTTTACATTTCACTTTAAGTAGATGGATGCAAACATTCAGAGACAACTAGTTACAGTCACCATTGTATGTCTACATAAAACTGGTAGTGATTTATTTTTTTAATAATGTCATGTAAGCAAGATATCTCAGATCTGTCATAAAAGAGAAAGGAACATTAATGTCATTTCTTTACAAAGACAACAGAAGATAAATACTAAAACTAACCATTTCATTACATACTGTATATCCTATTGTATTATTTATTTTCTCTCTCTTCAGAAGAATAACAATAGAGATTAACCAGAATTCTGACTTATTGGCAGAAAGACATTTTTTGCAAGTAATATATCATCTTCTGTTTGGCTTTCATTTTTATAGCAGCAATTAAGATAAGATTCAGTATTCAATCATTTTAATACATAAATGTCTGCTTCAAAATTAAAGTAGTCATTTGAGATTCACAAAGGAAAAATGTGGTCAACAAAATATTGTAATATATTTGTAATATATTGATATGTGCATATTTTCTGGTAGGAGAGACATATATACATGCACACTCACACACATTCTTCACCAGTGTTTTCCAGCTCTGGTGACTGAGACATGACATGGATTTCCAAAACAGTATGTGAGGGCACCATTACTCCAAGGTGGACTCCAATGCCTTTGGGTAGTCTCAAAACAAAAATCATATATAATTTATTCTAATGAAGAATATTATTTTTTCTGAGTGTAGTCCTGTTTACCAAAATGAATAGTGAATGGGTGCTTTTAAAAATAGCCAGATACCCCTACTCACATTTTGCAGAAATATCCCTTCTGAATTTAGGTTTGTCCACGGTATCACAGCATATATTAGCACCAGTAAATTAATCCATAAACTCCATCAGTTTATTTTCTCATTTGCAAATGCAATAAAACAGCTTCCCCTCCTGTGAAATACTGCCACAGCTGTGATCAGTGGTGGTAGCTGAGCTGAAATTTCCTTGGTAGTCAGGTATAGCAAACGAGATATGTGGAACTGAGTAGTGCCCAGCATCACCGCCTCCTCCCTGGCCTCAGCACAGGACAGGTGTCACATAGCAGAGTCAGCTGAAGGCAACGCACATCCCTGCTCCTGTTCACAGTTTGCTGTCTTGAGACTTATTCGCTTATGAAGAATCTATCCTCTTAGGGAAGGTTAGGAAGGAGAGATGGGATGATAAAATCTTGAACCGCGACGGGAATATTTGTCAGGGTCTGAACACAGAGAAGGCAGCTCTAGCCAGGGAACTTTGTTTCTAAGAAATCAAATGTGTTAACTTGCAGACTACTGCACAGGCCGCCTTTTGACCCTTGTCTCCTTGGTCCACTCAAATGTGCAGTGACAGCAAAAACAATTAATGCGCAGTGTCTCTCTGACACACATGCACAGAAACTTCCCCTGCCCCCCGAGTCTCACATGTCTCTTACTATTAATGTGAGCCAAGGGAATGTGGTAATTCGTTTGACTTAACTTATTTTTGAAAATGTCCAAAGGCACATGGATAATTCCATGAGTTCTTCTTTACTGCAAATTGTAAACCTAATGAATTAAAAGAGCAGTCCTGGGAGACTTGAGAAGGTGGTTAGCAATTAAATTACAGCTGGAGGCTCCAAAAAGAATGAGCCCTTAATTCTGCAATAAAGTATGTCTGTGCTTTATTTTACGCATGTGACAACATTGGTTCAGGGCTCCTCAGCAGTTTAGGAAAAGCCTAAGGGTTGTATAAATGAAAGCAAACAGAAAATTAGACTTTGAGATGATAAATTAAATTTTGCTTCTCATCAGAAAAGCAAACTCAGAGGACCTTATTAGGGGTATTAATTTACTTCAATCAGTAACATATCCACATTTATTTTAAAAATACCTTTATCCACTACATCACATTAAACAATAGAACAGTCTGTTGCCATCGTAGCTGCAGAGGACTTTGTACTAAAAGCAAATCTTATCCATTTTGAACAGCACTGCGCCACAGCTGTCCCTCTCAAAACTCCAGGCCACATCTCTGCAGGAGATTTGTCAGATATCATCTACATCCTTATGGACATAGTAGAGATATTAGCTCTAGGGTGGGCAAATGATTTAGATGACAGAAAATATGAGCCCAAAATAAAGATATTCCACATAATATCAAAACTTGATTAAAAAAACTTGAAAAAGCTGCACACTTAGACATGTCATAAAAAGCTAAATTAAATGGCATTCAGAAAATCCTGATGATCTCAGAATTACTCAGGTAGCATGAATTAGCTGTTTGTTTGGTACATAAATATTCCTACGCTGTGCTTGACACATCTGTCCAGTTGTCTTTCTTCAGAAGTCATCTTCTACTTTTTTCTGGTTTCACTCCTAATAAAGAATGATCCTCCAAAACACATGTAAAAACAACACCTGCAACCAAATGCAACAGGCATGTAAGGCTAGAAGACAGCACTACAGAGATTTGAAGAAAAAAAAGGTGTTTATTCCAGAGAATAGTGGTTTCCACTGATGATGGCATTTCCTATTTTGTTTGAATCACACTTTCCTGGTCAGTGCCATCTCTAATATCAACTGATGGTGTAAAACAGGAGAGAGAAGTAATTTATAAGATAGTCATGAAACAGCCAGCATCACAGTTGAGAACTACCCTTTTGATTGCCTCTGGGGAAGACCTGGAACTCACCTGTGCCACTGGTGCCACCTTGTTCCTAGGCACCCACTAGGAACCTTGCCTGCAACAATACCTGATCAACACTACAAAATAGGTGACATTTAAAACAGCATATTACCAGAAAGTTCAATTTTCATTTAGGCAAGATTTGAAATACTCTAAATGGCTCAAGCAAACCCTAGGTGGAGCTAGAGTTTTGCCAAGTCCAGCTAATCTGTGAACAAAAAATGTATTTGTTTTGACTACACTAGCATGTGGAACACACTTTTATGTAGGGACTACACTATTCAGATAATTGTAGCAAACTCATGAAATAAAGTAAGGGTAACAATTTTTAGATGATTTGCTGCAAGTGGGGATATGAGCTTGCAGGAGCACAAAAAAGCCCAGACTCAGTAAGGATGACAGTGTCCATTTCCTGCAACTTGTACACACAACCTTTGTACTGCCTGCACTAAACCTATGCCAGGTATTTCTCAGCCAAGCCCCCAGCCTGTCTAGATATTGTAAATGTTATCACTTATTAATAGTGTAAATGTTAACAGTTGTCAATGCATGTATAAATGTACTCCATGGTCTTTAATATTTATCCAGAACCACCACATGATTTTAGTACCTACAAAGATGTTCCCAAAAGACTCCACATTGCCAGCTGCCTGCTCCTGGTAAAACCTTAAATTAATGAAGAGTCAAATTTCTGCACTGCCTCGTACTCCTGCTCCTCACTGTTCCTATGCCCCTTCACTCTACTCTGAAGAGTATGTACGTCCCTGCAAGTCCGCAGAGCTTGGCTGATTAACTCGCAGCAACATGGAGCCGCTCTGTCTCTTGCCTAGCCTCCTGTTTCTGCTGAGGGACAGTACCTCTAAATCTCTGTTGCAATTCTTTATAAAACACTACTCTAGAAGTAGACCTCTAATTTTAAAGGAGGCAACTGAGGCAAAAGAGGAACTAAAAAACCAAAAGTCACTTAAGGATGAGCCAGATTACGCTGAGGAAGGACCTCCTCATGGCACTTCAGGGCAGGCTGCAGAAGTGTGCTTTCTGAACCAGCCCACCTTTGCTCACCCATGTGCTCTTTTCCCTGCCCTGATGGTACCAGGGACAAGCACTGCACTCCCAGTTCATATCACCAGTTGTATACTGCAGCATACATTTGAAGGACATTTCTTGCTGACAGTTCCAGATGATGATTTTATTTATCTTTATAATAATCTTAGCTTGTGTCACTCCAACTGTGGTAAACAGAGCTATACAGTCCCTACAAATCAGACATGCTATTTATCTCAGCATAGCTGTGAACTTAACAGGCTGGATTTATGGTGTATAAAAAATGTTTTTCTGTTCTGTTCTAAATTTACTCCCCTTTAAGTTAATCAAGTCCTTTTGTTCACATCTTCAGCAGCTGCTAAAGAGAAAGAAACAAGAGTATGTGGTTTAAATACTCTTCTCTGAACTGTACATGAAAGCACTGTATGAAATCTCAGTCCACTAAGGTCCTAAGGATTTCTGCCAGGTACTTTATGGGGTAGACTTTCATCCTCTGCTTTAAGCTGAAATGTTTTTCCTAGAATTTAGTCTTATTGATATAAAATAAAAATTCTCCTCTGCTCCTATTCCAGCTGTTTAGCTGCTGTTTTTAAGAACCCCATACACATTCCCTCTCCAAGAAATATTTCAGCTTCTTACAACAGATTGGTGCCACAAAGGTACACCTACGAGAATGAGTCAGGAGTAATTAATTCAGAAGTGCAGCATCTCCGCTCAGGTTGGCTGAGCAGAGACAAGATCATGACCTTGAGAACTCTGCCACTGCTAAGAAGATTAACATTAAACATTGATCATGGCAACTTCAAACTCTTCCTAACACAATGTTGGAAATGATTCTCTCACTGCTTTGGAGGGGGTTTGATCTCCTGCTAGTGAAGTCTATATATCTTGCTCTGTCACAGCAGTATCATATACTAGCATCTGCTTTCAACAGGGTCCCATAAGGTAAACCACATCGAAGTGATTTCAGCTAACCTAAGTCATAATTAACACTGCATATGTTTGCACAAGGTCTGACTTTGCATTTACTGAGAGCAAAAAGCTTACATTCTTACTGCCTAACACACATAAACGGTGGTAAATACTTTTGTAGGTTGTGCACCATTGTATCTAAATAATAAAAAACTCCAAAGAGCACTCATACTTCAAGGTTCTAAGGGGCCTTAAATCCCTGGGTCTCAACTATTTTTTTTTCAAAATCATGCACTTTTGTAATATTAAAAATTCTATATAACACTGAAAAGGTCTTTAACTCCAGAGTTCACATTTAACTAAGTACAAATAAGGAAAACAAGAGGAAGACATTAGCAGAAACACCAGAGAAAAGCAACAAATTAAAAGAGGACAAGAAGGATATTATTTAGAGTTCTTTTAGTAAATAACCTTAAAACATTGTGAGATGTGAGAAAGTTTTCAGTTCAACTATGAGAAAATAATGGAATGTATGGGGGTTTAGCAGAACAATTTGGCTTGTGTAAGTGACCAGACTGTCCCACTTTGGTCTCCTCTTTCCCCTGTCTTAAACCAGCTTCACCCATGGGTTTGAAGGGATTCCCTTACTATCCTGCCTTATAGGAAGTAGAAAATGAGTTCACTGGCACCTTCTACATAACCAGCATGAATTAGAATCAGCAGAGAGAAGTAAGACCTTGCCAAAGATTTAAATCTCCCATTCATTAAACAATTATACATTTTTGCATGTTATCCTCCTGACTTGTGAAGATGATCTCTTACTGTTCCAGAAATGGGAGAAAGACCTTTGATTCAACTTTGCAATTCTGTGTCTGTCAGAATCATCATCCCTCTACTCACCTTAAACTCTTTTTCAATGTTGGCAAGCACGGCCAACTCATTGCTGAGCTCTAAGGCAGTCATTACAGGGTCTTCACTGGACAAAGACAGATAAGCAGGGCTGGCCAGACCTTTATAGGCATTGATTCTGGACCTAGAATGGCTGAAAGAGTCATGCTTTTGTTTCTGATTGCATTCGACGCACTTGCAGAAATAGTCATGTGGCCTATCGATCCGAGCTCCTTTTCTCAGCAGAGTATGGACAATCTCATATTCATGGCAGTGAGCGGCCAGAATGATTGGTGTAACATCATGGGAAAACCGTGTGCCATCTTCATCGTACGCATAGAAGTCATCATGCTGGAGCTCCGACTGGCTAGGACTCAATGCAAGCCTCTTGCCTTCAGCAAATGCGGGATGGTTTAGGATGGCTTCCACTATCCGAACGTAACCTTTGCTAATAGCCAAAAGCAAGGCATCTCCAACCCGAGACAGGTTCTCCTTCTTCAGCAGAAGCTCTGTGATCTCCAGGTGCTCATTGGCAACTGCCAGCTGCAAGGCGTTCTGCCCCATATAGTCCACACAGTTCACATTGAGTGAGGGACATTCTTCCAGCATTTTGCGAATCACTGGAATATTTCCATATTCCGCTGCATCCAAAAAGCGCTCCTCCTCAAGAGAAAGACTTGTGGAGTGGTCATTAAACATATACGCTGGCCCTCGACTGGCCTGCCTCCTCCCCTTCTCCCGGAGAATGGTCTGTCGTCGTAGCGCTAGTCTATTCTCATTGCCTCGGCTGTGTGGAAATAGAGAAATTATTAGTTCTGTTGTATGCAACAGCACAACCATTTTAAATAATAATTAAAAATATTTTAATCATTTATCTGCTGTATATTTTTAATGCAGCAGGGAGACCAGAAACCCTGACTTTGGTGTACTTTGGAACCACTGTTGCTGCACAGCCCTGGAATCAGTATCCAGCTACATTTTATTTCAATAAGAACTAAAAGCCCTAGTCAATCATCATTTAAGACTACACTTTTTTCCCTATTTTGTCCTCCCCAGCTTTTGCATGATTTTTTAGTGAAGCTGGACTGTGCTTCATGTTATATAGGTAGAACAACAGTTCTAAAAGTTCTTTCTCAGGTTAACACAGAAACCCCTCTCTGGTTTTCCAGCACTCTTCTATCCAAACTTATCATATCATCCCTCTGATATGTATGGTCACTTCATGAAAAAAAAGTTCTTCTTATTTTAATCTAGAAAAGAAGAAAGCATTATAAAATTTTTACATGCTAAGATTTCACTTTCTCGTTACAAGAATATTTTCAACAGAAAAAGTTCAGCTAAGTTTGAGAATTGCTGCAAGAGTGAAACTACTTTTTCTCTGGATTTCATGTTCTGCTTTCTGACACCTTTGTTAGATCTAGCAGGTATTTTGAAGGACTTCACTGGAACAGGGTATCAAAAAAAAAAAAACAACACCAGATCTCAAGTTCATTGTTTAAATATATATTTTAAATGCAAAGATGACCTGGTGAATAGTGATGACATGCAATCATGGCCTCAGTTCAGAGACAGCTGGTGTCAACAGCACAAGACAGTGAGAATAGCCCATATCTGCTCAGCTGGTAGGAGCAGTCCCAGTGACACCACATGAGCCTAGGTGCCCTCAGGTGGCCCTTCTGAAAGCCACTATCCCCTCAGGATAACAATGACCCGCAGCTCTTTACTTGATCTACTTTGGTGCTAAGTCACAGCTCAGAGTGAAGACAAGTCACAGTATGAAAGGAGTCAGCAGTTGCAGGATGAGGGATAAGGGACTGCACAGGATAGCAGGACAAACGAGATGAAAATTCTCTAAATTCCCTTCTGCCTCAGAAAAGCAGGCAGGCTGACTTCACTTGCTCTTATTATTCTTACCCCCATCACTACTTCAGCAACTACCTAACTTACATTTCGGATCTGGTTTCTCCTCTTTGCCCTGTTGATGTTTTTCTGACATCTATAATTGAATGCTCAGTCATAAATTGAATCTGTACAAGATAAAAGCATATTGACTACATGTCGACATGCTACTCCCCATCTCCACCATGCTTTTAATTACTACAGTTCATAACCTTGATATGCTATTTATTCCTCCACCCAGTGGCTTGCCAACAAATGCTGCCAATTCTTGGCTCATGATAGCTCTGAAATGTTATCCATTCTTCTGCTCCTGAAACCCTCATCCATTCCTCACCTCTTATCTTAATTATTAATTACTTAATAATTATTTAATTATTAAAACATAAAGTGAACCATATTAAAGCTAAGTTTGATGAGGAATGCTACAAAATACGCTACATTCTCTTTAATAGGAAAAAAAAATCTAATTCATGACTCTGTTATTTCAGTCATCTAAGATCCCAATCTTCAACAGAAATTCAATTGCAAATAATTTTCTCTCCCAGAATTACTCTGCTAAACTACACAATATTCACTACAACTTCATCTGTTTCTTTTTGAATAGAAGCTTAATGATTCTTTACATACATATGCTCAAATACATTTCACTATTTTCAGTATTTCCCGCAAAATAATAACCATGAACAATATTTTATTCATTAAATACTTACTAATGAACATGAATTTAAGTATTTAAATGACAGTAAAAAAATTAGTCCTTTGTGACTCAAAACATCTTTACAAAAAATAACATTATGTTATTTCTTCTAGGTTGTTTATATTTAACTTTAGTATAAATTTCCTTTTTGCCTCTTCCTTCCCATTTCCTGAGATACAGTCCGCTGCAGCATGGGAAATGCTTCAAATTGCCAAAGTCTTAAATCTGAAAAGACAGTTTATTTGCAAGATAATCACAGGCATCACATGTAGAATATATCAAAACTGACAACTATAACATCATTCAATATGCAGACAGTACTAATACTGTGCTACAATGGCAACTTTACAGCCTGAGTTTGGACTATGTCATTTCACGGTATGGAATAAAGCTAGATCCCATCCTCTTCTATTCCTAAAGATCCCCATGAAGGCTGTCTCAGTTACTGTGGGTTCAAAGCATATGAGAGAGCATTTATATATGCTCATGTCTTATAGGTGAATATGCTCTATGGCTGGTTGAAATTTTTACATGCATATTTCCAGATATTTTAAAAGAAAAAAAATATTTATATTTGTTGAAAAGACAGCCTTTGGAGAGGTTTCATAGAAAACATGAAAGAATGAAAATGTTACTAGCACTGGCGACAATATTGCTGCCAAAAACTGAAATTCACTAAATAGAAGCCAGGCTTTTGATATATTTACAAGTGTATTTACTGGAAATTTATGTTCTAAATTGAAACAAGGGTGAAACGGCAGAAAGGTGAGATCACGGCAGAGAAAGCAGATGCCAGACACTCCAGTTTTGAAAATTACACCATAGAGGACTGTAATGTGGTTCTGAAAAGATTCTTCAAAGACAGAATATGAGAGTGTATTGGTAGGCTGAAAATCAGCTGGGAGACAGGAAAGAGAAGGAAGTTAAAGACAAGAGAGGAAAATTGAGGAAAAAAAAATGTAAGGAGAAATTTTAAAACTTGATGGGTTTTAAGATTTAGGTACTGAATAACTCCTAAGAGATGACTGTAGCAAGACCATATGGAGACAAGTTCCCTAACTTCCACAGCAGGGTTAACTCTCATAAAATAAAGGATTTAAATACCCCAATAAAGTTAATCCTACAGTGAAGGGTTTAAATCAGGCTATATGTTTCTTGAGTTTTATAGCTTCTTGGAAAAAAAGAAGCACAGTGTAATAACCATAAAATTTTGAGAAAAAATGTTTAGTTGATTCTGATCAACTGATTAGAATTGATTTTCATTCACCTTCACCTTTGCATTCCAAATTATTCAATGCTTGTAAAAAAATACATTTTTATAGAGAAACTAACTAGAGAACGTAAAAACAAATACATTGTGCAGTGACCATCTTGTACAGGTATGTTTCTACCAAATTTAATTGAACATGGCATGGCTTTAGAGCTTTACTGATAAAAATTAAGGTTTCTTTAATGTAAAAGAACAAATTTATAAAAAATTGATACAAAACCTTTGACTTTACTGCTTTTAAGACCTTTTACATATGTGATGTCACAGCAGTTCACTGATCTGTGAATTGCTACTCTTTCATAGGAGATATTTAGAAAAAAATTATATCTAGGTTGGACAGTTCTCAGTAAGATATATAAATGTTTATTATTATTATTATTATTATTTCTTCTCCTGCACTTTTTATGAACGACCATATTGTTTATTTGATGTGTTCTGCTTTGCACTTTCTCTATTCTGTAGCTGAGTGTATAAATGCAAGAACCTAATAACATCATCACAGGAGGCAGCCCTAAACAAACATCACAGAATCACAGAATGTTAGAGATTGGAAGGGACCTCGAAAGATCATCTAGTCCAATCCCCCTGCCGGAGCAGGAACACCGAAGAATAAAGCATGAAGAATAAAGCATTCAGAAACATGAAGAATAAAGCATAGTTTGGTCAAAAACAGCATTTGCAGATGAAATATAGATAAGAAAGGTGAGCTTTAAAGTGATTACTTTAAAAAGGAATACTTTTGAGGGATTTTTTTTTTCAGTTTAGAAAAATACATCAAACCTAGAGATTCAACACACGAATACAGGATAAATAAGGATAAAGATAAAATAGAGAGCATAGCGCTTTTATTCCTGATCTACACTTCCACAGTTCATATGATTTGTATTTATTACTGACAAAAAAGTTTGCTTTCAAAATGGATTTGCACATAGAACTAAATATTGCCCTGCTGGTATTAAAATATTTAAATAGAGGAAATGTTCCTCTAGTAACAATTTGGAAAACCTATTTTTACAAAATACCAAATAATTAAACTAATTATTATATGTAATAGTTACGTGTAGATATAACTGTGCTATCAACATTTAGATTGCTTTGATATTATATAGTCAACTTCTTATTTGACTTATATTTGACTGGTGTTTCATTTTCCTACTTCTTTCACAGCAGAAGGATCCTGTTTGGATTCCACAGGGCAAGTTTAGGTAGTAAAAGGCGAAAACATCCGCCTCTGTCTGAAAAGCCACTGTGCGATTTAGCTCTTGACTTGAATAAACTGTTACAATCAGATTTTTTCAGAGTATCAGTTGCTCAATTTCTCTTTGATTTTTTTTTTAATGTCAAATGTAAGCACTATAACAACAACAAAATGCAAGTTTTATTTTTCAAACCAATGGCACTTCTTTTCAGTGTTTGATATGGAGCCAGAGAACTCCAACTGAAATGCAACTGCAGGACACGTTCTATAGCAGGTTAACCATGTCACGTAAATTCGAGTTGCCAGTCCAATTAATGAAACTAAAGCAAAAAATTCTATTATATCCTGATCAGCTGTGAAGCTATGCAGTATTAAGCCCCTTCCATAGTTCTTTGCTCAATAAAAGCCATTATATTTTCTCAGTGTGAGTTGTGCAGCTGACTCAACTGGCAGCAGAAGCAGGCAATGAGTAAACAGTGTCTGTCATGTATTGATCTTTAATCTACTTACATTTAGCAAAGGAAAGGCTTTGAAAGATTTTAATTAACACAAGCATATGTCAGCGTATCAGCTGCTACAAGCATACCTATCTGTACTTTTCTACTAACTCTCACCATGGCTGCTGCAATTTCCCTCTCCATGGCCTCTTCAGACTTTAAGATGTGATGACCATCTTCCAACAAAAGTCACTGCAGTATCTCTCACCTTAGAAACCCCCA